AAGGGCTTCCAAAAATTCGCAATTTTCATGGCAAACACCAACCGATCCAAACAAACAAAGTTGCTTTGGGTAGTTGAAGACCCACTTCATACATTTATCAAGGTATTTTTTTCTAAAAAATAAAGGTTTCGATGCATTTTGACGATATTATTTCACGGACAAATCGACTAAAAATTAGGTCATGAAATTTACGGGTTTTTTTTTCGAGAGAACAACGAAAGTCTCCCAAATGTTGAGGTAATCAAAGGAAAGAGTGAACCTTCATCTACAAAAAAATCTCGTGAACGTGATGTCGTTAATATCTTAAAAATTCGATGTACATGCACCTAATGTTTCAAACAACTTCCATTTTTCACAACGCGAAAAGATCGTCGCCATTGTAAAGCATAGAGCGAGGAACCCAAACATGGTGTGTTCTTGTGACCCATACGCCCACTGATTGGTCGAGCTCGAGTATGGCCTGCTTAAAATTCATAAGTCATTCATTGCACCGCGTTAGCATGTGCTTTTTTATGGTACGTCGGCGTACTTCCGTTCGTTTACACGCGTACATGTGATTGCAAATCATGAAATCTCGCAAAAATCTTCATTTTTCAACCGGTGATTTGGCTCAAACATTAGAAGTCTCCTGCACGTGTTTCACATGAAAATGAAGTGTATACTTTTCTCTGTCTACTGAGCCTTGCCTTTTTTAAGAATCGAACGTACACCTAAAAACTATCGGCCCTCGATTTTGTTGATAAAAAAAATTATGATTTTGTTTGACAGGCCGTAACAACACTTTACATTTGTCAAAAGCAATTATTTTTGGTATCAAAATATGTGCACGAAGCATTAAGCAGTTTTCGGGATAACCGATCTCGATAATTCTCCGTTATCATTCAATGACCAATGAAAGAAGAAAACATTAAAGACATGGTGTTCAAAATGATATATATGTCTTTCTTCAAACGTCTCCATTAAAAGAATTATTACATCAGTTAGTTTATTTGAACTGCACTGACAATTTTACAACTTACTTGTAAATCATTCACTTAAATTTACAGAAGAGTACAGATCATTTGATGTTATTCATGTACATGTATTTTGATAAATCAACGACATTCAAATAAAAGAAAACAAGAATAGTGAATTCTTACAATAACAATAGGTGTTGGACTCATAGCCCAACACCTAATAACTATAGCATATAGACACACAGATCGCTTAATAATGTCGGCAGATGATTTGCCTGATAAAACACACTCGTATATGCAAAAATAAAATCAAGAATTTTTTTCGGTTGAATGCGTATGCTGTCGAATATGGAAAAATAATATCATGAACAGTTTGTTCGGTTGAATGGTATGCTATGTCGGAATGTATATAGATGGATTTTTTTCCCGTTTAATATATGAGGTACTAATTCTTATACAGGGTGATTCAAAATATAAAAACCAAATTGGCAGCCCCTAATTTTTTATGTTAAAAAAAAAAAAAAAAAAAAATTGCATGTAGGGGCCTGGCGTGTTCCATGTTCTAGGATATGAAAGCCCAATTCATAAGCTTTATTTCAGTCAAACAATAATCGCTCATGTATTTTTTCCAGTTATGGACTTTTAAACACAAAGATACTTTTATAATTTTTACCACGGATCACAATGATGGTAAGTGATATTTCAGTAAAACGAATACAATTCACAAATAAAAAAAAGACATCAGAACACTCTCAGATGATAACTGACACTTATTATTAAAGAAAAAAAACCGCCTGCTTCTAATGTCGAAACAACATGCTTTATAATGCAAAGAGTTTATAGCCTTGCCCTGCCTTCTACTTAAATCCTCGAGACTTTTATATTCTGATATCGTTTTCATGACATGACATGGTATCGTTTTACTGAAATACCACATGCCTACCTAAATGTGATCCGTTGACATTTTAAAGCGGTGTTGTGTTCAAAATTACATGATTTTGATTTACATGATTTACATGATTTTGAATGATTCTTTTACTAAAAGAAAGCTTAAGTTGGATTTTATATCCTATTTCCGGAAAGTGCTACAGACAGAACTTCCTAAAAAAAAAATAATAATAGGGGGCACCATTTGGGTTTTCTTTGATTTGACATTATCATCATACAAAGACATTCATTGTAGAAAAGGTAGCCTTTATCAAAATAGATCCACGTCGCGTGGAAGTTTTCTATACAACAAATAGCAGCCATAAATTCCCTGATTGCTGAATAGGTCGCTGGTAATTTTTTTTTTTTACTTGTCACAAAGATATCATATCACACATGTTGATAACCACTGGGGAAGTGGAAGCAATAACGGGGAATTTCCCGTTCGTGTGGGTGAAAAAAAAATGGGTCAAAAGGGTCAAATGTGTAACTCCCACAGTTGATCTGCAAAGGCACTTAATTTGGAAACATACACCAAGGAGCAAATTACCGGTATGCGACATGTGCACCTTATAACGTTTTAATTTTAACATCATGCACGGTAGTAACATAGCCATTATATACGCACTTCGACAACCCAAGTATGCTAAACATCAAGAAACCCAAAGGTTTAACCGTCGTGCTGTGCAAAGATAAAAAACAAAGAAGATTCTCGAAAACTGACAATTAATACTAATGAAAAAGTACCCAAATTGAACAGAATCGACCTTCTCACTACACGACAAGTATATGTTTCTTACATAATGTATAATAACGTGTTAAAATCAATCAATGGTCAATATTAAAAAAAAAAAAAAAACCTTTGTATTTTATTTCCTAATATGAAAAGTTTGTGCGTGGATGTTTTTGAAGAAGTACTTAATATTTTTTTGTCATTCAATAAAACAATATGAATTACAGATGCATATCTAACAACTATTTGAAAAATCCAAGTTGGTTGAATAAAGTCACTTTGATTCGAACATTCAGTTTATGATTTAGTAGGCCTATATTTCGTTCACCAATAAAAAGGCAGGTAGCTGTATAACCTTTAACCTCTGATTACCAGCGCACATTCTGCATGCATAGTTAGCGACTTCACAACACCCACCCCCCAAATATCCCAGGGTCGCGTCAACATTCTCTGCGGTTAGTCATCAGTGTTACGGAATTTTCCTTCACTCTTCACGGTCACTGCCCCAATTATCAACGCCAAGCGGAAAGCAACCACTAGAATTCAACCAAAGCAAGCTGGCATTGTGTAATACATGTACCGTAAACATCCATGGTTCTGATCCGTGTCTGATGCGCCACCCAGAATTCTAAGAATTCAACAATAGCATTTTGCACCGGGTCGTCTTGTCGGCTTGGGCTTGAACTTGAAGCACAGAGCAAGAAATTGTTCCTTGTTCTATGCTTGAAGCATGAAGCAATAAGCAAGAGCCATGGTCTTGAATATTATTCTTATCATTATTAAGCTCACAGAAAATGAAAATGAAGAAAAAAAACCCCCAAATAGCCTTATAATGATTTCTATACTAAATAGACGGAGAAATCATTTATTTCGCGACTATTATTTGGAATAGGTTTCCAGTCATGCTAGCAAACTATTATCCTCGGCAGCAATCCCTAAACCAACAAATCGAACAACATTCATACCCTAAATTTGCCAATTGAGCTTCATGATAAACATGCACCAGCTATAGATGTCAAGATGATTATTCGCTACAGTCAGTAAGGTACTAGACCAATATATAAACACAACACACATATCACTTCCATACTTTATTTTAAATCTACATGCTTTATGTACACGCAAAACATGGGAAAGGTTAAAACTACATTTCAGTCAGGACATGATTTCAGTTGTGTCTTTTTCACTTCCCAATTGATTTTGAACAATTACAATCTTCCTGAACAAAAGTGAGGATAAGTTGCTCATAAAATTTCATTTTATCTTCAATTCATGTACTTTCCTCATGCGGGTTCATTAATCAAGGTACATGCAGGCACATTATTTCACAATAATTGCAATTGATTATATTTAAAAAAAAATCCATTGTATCTGTCAACAAATACAAAGCCATTCACAGAAAGAAATATTAGTACTGGGCAACACAATGTGTATTTTGTGATAAGTTGGATATTGACATTAACTGTAGGGAATGATTTATTTTCTCTCACATAAAATATACATGCACTGATTTAAAAGTAGTACGATTGAAAAGTACTTCATCAGAAAAAAATCATCAATGTATAACAACACAAAACAGGAATTCCAAAGGTTTTACATAAATGTAGTAACACAGACTTCAGAGTGATCAGGGCTTCCTTTTTTTAATTACTGAACCTGTGAATAAATTGAATTTGGAAACCCCAAAAGGAAATCTGTTGAAATTGCCAAGCTGAAAATTTGCAAACTAAAAATCATACTTTTAAAAACAAATATGATCATGGTCACTCCACTTACCCTTAAAAACTTGACAGATTAAAAAAAAACAAGCATTTCATGAAACAATGACAGCATTACATACCACATAACGAAATTTTTCTTTACATTCTTAAATCTTTGTTTTAGAAACATTGACATTTCAGTTATTTCCCATACATTTATTGCCATCAAAGGAAACTGCTTCCGCGAATTTCAATTTTTGCAAATAAAATGTGATTTAAAATTCTTTCAAATTACTACATGTATGTTTGATATATCTATGTGTGTAAATCGACGGGGGACAGGGGAAACCCCCCCCCCCCCTCCCCATTTTAAAGCGGGGGACATTGTTTGGTTCCCCCCCCCCCCACTTTTTCTTCCCCGAATAAAAATTGTAGCCTACAACAATGATTCTATTGCTCAGAATACATGTAGCTGAGACAATTACTCCAAACTCAAAACTTTAAAAGATGATCTTTTGCTAAAATTGGTTTTAGTGGTCAGCCTGAAATTGCCTCAGATCACACCACAGAAATTGCTTTTCTATAACTGCATGTCTCCTTAACTATATCCCCCATTTACATTTAACTCCCCAAATTTTCATCCTAAACACTACGCCCTACCCGATCTATGATCGGGTAAATCAGCTTGTATGATATATATCTTGATATTTCTTTAAAAATAAATGGCTTAAATTTTAACACGATTTATTTATTGATTCCAATATATAAGAAATATGTTTTGTTTCCGATTATAAATATGCTAAAAAAACTACAGTAAAAATCTTCTGTATATACATTATATCTATTCTCTGGGGGTATTCACCAAGATTGTATCCCAAAAATAGTTGGAATTTGTTCTGTTTGTTTGTATTTGTTATTTTTTTTTTTACATTTTCCGGCACTGTCCATCATTTGTCAACAACAAAATTCTGACCAATCATGAGGACTTTTATTAAATGCCATATTTCTAAGGGGCAGCAATCCCAAAGAGTAGGGGGGAGGAGGGTACATTACATGGGAAAATGTCTCAGTCTGCCCTGATATTTTGGGCAGACAGACGCCTACATGTACGGCCATGTCCCTTTCCCCTCCCCCCTCATATATTTCACTGTCATAAGTGTGACCTGTGTTCATGCTTGATATAGCTAGGGTATTCTCTTGCATGTATTGCAAAGTCTTGGTGGTTATGGAAGACAATAAGAAGTTACTTGCAGAGCAAACCATGAATAGTGAGTTGAGTTGAACAGTTAGACTTTAGTTCAGAATGGCAGATTCATGCAAATTTGCCTGATAATACAACGGCAAAAACACCATGTATCATTAGCACTATCATGCATGAGCAAAAAGCCAAGAAAAATACCCCACAACACAGTCAAGTCCTCAACAAGTCTCATCACGCGGAGCTGAGGCAGCATCATATGAGAGGAGACTTTGACTGTTTGCAACAGACTGTGCAACCAAAATGCACAAAACATGTGAAATATTTCTATTAAACAAATGCATGGCAAAAAATATGGTACTGTTAGGAAAAAAATGTTGCAAAGCAAAACGCCTCCAATACTCTCATCTTCTTCAGGAATGAACTTCATTACTTAAACGTTCATTCCATGGGGTGGGAGTTCCTTCAATGCTGTAATTCTTGCAATTGTTGGATTTGCTGAAGCAGGGCATCCATTTCTTGGGCCTGTTGCATAGCAGCTTTCACGGCACTGTCTAGCAGTCTTGCCCGGAAGCAGGTTTTGGCTGCTGGAACTTCCTGCAGATGCTTGTCTACTTCAGCCTGAGTACCCTGTTTCAAAGTAAACACAATAAAAAAGGCCTTACTAATCTCTGCAGGACAAAAGTATATAAAACTGTTTTATGCTGTTAAAAATTCATGCGCTATTCAATTTTTTTTATGATGTGTCAAAGGAAAGACTGACATTTTGTGGGTTTAGTAACGCTGTTAAGTCTGCAACATGTAATCTTGCAGACCTTGAACTCTGACATTCTGTACCCTAGGGGCATTTTTGCCAAATTTAAAGGGCAAACCTTTTGTCTGCTGACTGTCTGAGTCCCCAACTTACAACAATTTGATAATGTCCTAAAATGAAACTTTGCAGTCCAGCTTGACTACTATAGCCTAAGCCTATTCCATTTTATAAATTTTTAGAATGTTTTTAAACTTTCCAAATACCCTGCCCAAAATTCGGATACAATACCGAGCACGTCAAATCACATTAGTATTATATAACTTTATTCTCTGAACTATTTGTTTTTCAGTTTCCAAAAACATGTTGAACGACATCCTTCCAGGATATCCATCAAATGTTCTGACTTTAACTTAAATACGATCATTAAAGGGAAAATACATTTGCAACCATCAAAAAATAAAACTACCGAATTATGTTGAAATACAGGTACCTTGCTAGACTGTTAGTGTTAGTGAATGACAGTCTAAAGCATCCTGTAAAATCATGGCACCTGGTATATTGTCATTTTCAAGAAAAGTGGTATTTTGTATCAATTTCCAACGCTGGTGGGCCGACCAACGTTGGAAAGAAATGACTTAAAAAAAAAAAAAAATGGCCCCAGTTGACCATATTTAGTTAGTCCGCATTTGTTTACAATTTATTATACACCTACATGTATATGAACGGTTACAAGCCAGCTAGACTGGTTCCCTGACCTTACAATTCCCCAATGTTTATAAATTGCTCTGTTTTATCTTAAATGGAGTCAGGGAATCAGACTTACAGGAAAAGGATTGGTTTTCTAGGTTTTTATAGCATTTACATGTACGCACCCAAAACGTAAAAAAAGACAGTGTAACAATATTTGCTATATATTACCAACACCCCAGATCCATCCATTTCTGAAAATTACAGCAAAAGCAAATGATGTATATATCCCCTTTGACGCTCCTACTATTTAAACAGTCACAGACAGTCAAAATGTCCATCCTCTTCCCCTACATCTACCACAGGCTAGTCACTAGTAACAGTCAGATTATATGTCAAAATAAGCACTGTGACTAGTCAAAGTCGGTCAATACTCAACAGACAAAGCAGGCAAGTTGTGGGCACGACTGGTTTATCAATTGCCTACAGTCAAAAAAGGCTGTATCACTTTACATAAACAGTCACAGCCAGTCAATTCTGCTTTGTGTAGGCTGGGGATTCTTGATTAACTGTTAAAAACAGTCACTTGATTGATTTTGACTGAAAGGACTACTTGGCACAGAATGTATGTTTGCATTGGAGGGTAAAACGCAACAATGAATTATTGTTTAGTCTTTCACAGTCTATCAGTTTCATTTCCAGTGCTGACCAGCCATGCACAGCAGCGTGACAATTCACTGTTAAACCATGACCATGATAATGTTACTGTATTATTTATACACCACTGAATCTTCAGTTAAAATATTTAGTAACTTGTGTATTACATGTACATACATCTGCATTTACATGTAGGTCAGTTAACAGAGAAGTTAATCATTTATCTTTTTGGCTTATTGGCATGATATAACAAAACAATTGTTAACTGTTGTGATGTGGCGGGATGTGCCGTTTATAACCCCCTCAGGGCGCATACCCTCGGCTTTGCCTCAGGTGCAACATGTTCCGGTATATGCACCCATTGAGTGTGTTAAAAATGGCATATCCCACATCACAGCAGTCAATCATTGTTAAATGGATCACATAAAAAACACCTGGTGAAAAATCACCGAATCAGTCGATCAATTCCACACAAAAAAGTACTTGGGTTATTGTACACATACATGGTAGGTTTCGACAGCACTTCAACTTCAAAAGCACAAATACTAGTATTGACAATTTGCCACATGTTAGAGACAATTGAAGTATAAATTGAACGAGAAATTGTTCTTCAGTGAGTCATCATGACATAACATGTACATTTTTTTGCAATGAGCTGTATTGAAATAATGCGGAAGGTTCAATTTGAAAAAAATGTTCAGAATCAAATTATCACAAGTGTTAACAGAGTGTATTGGTTTCGTGCAATCAGGGCGTTTAGTTTCAGTCAGGTAGGCCTAAATTGTAATTTTAAAAACAATCCTGGACATACATGTAAGTTATTCCCTTCAATACAAAATTCTTTTAGTTTTGAAATAATTGATTGTGGAAACTGACCTGGAATTGGCATCCGTATAATTTGAAAGGGCATTCAATTAGCACCGGTTCATTCTCCTGTTCAAGTATCTGCAACTACCAAGAAACGGAAATGGCCATCATTTTTCAACTTCCTGTTAATGTAAACACTTGAAATCTTAATAAAGAGCCAATCCAAGGATAGAATGGAGGACAAGTCACTAAACAGTCATGCTTTTGCTGTTGGTGGCCCAATATCTTTCGGTAGATCAGTGTTCGGTACGTGGTATACCCTGGAAAAAAACCCCCCCCCATAGATCCTCATAAAATATTCTTTACCCAATGGGACAACTATAATTTACAAAAAAAAACATTGTCTTCAAACTAAAAAAAAAAAAAAAATGATGGAAATCCAAATGTCTTAGGAATAAATCTCTATCAAATGACATCACTGCCCACAGATTGTTACGTGCAGTCAGCATTTTGGTAGCCAAATTATCGTAACAGGCATCGGCCTTTTCTAGCAACAAATGCGCGCATTCAAGTTTGAATGCCTATTGTGCACTTCTCAGGCATGAAAAAACGTCATGGGGCACATCACAGCCAACACACAACTCTATAATGTATTCATTTTGTCAGAGTCATTTTGTCAAATAAAAGTAAAAACGGGACTAAACCATCCCATGTACTGCAAGTCATTGGGTATTCAAAGGAAGCGTTCATAAAAATGGCCGTTTCTTTTCAAAGATTTACCTTCACAAACGGGATCAGTTTTGGCTTCACCTCAGCTCCTTGTCCACCACATTCCTGCATATGTTCCCGTAGGTCAGACATACGCAGCTCTTCACTACACACTTTGCACCGTGCGAAATTATTCCTCATTTGCTTGGAAGCTACAAAGTCCCGTCCATAATGGTCACGTTTGTCAAGCACTGGTTCAAAGCACGCTGGACATTCTACGGGCCTAAGAAAATAAAAAAACATACCGATAGTTAGCATTGGGTATTTTTTCTATGGTTATGGGCTTGTGTGAACAGTACCAGTAGATGAGTCTTTGTGACTCATTTTCATATTTTAATGTGCACAAACCTGTACCATCTCTGAGAGAACATGATGTGTTCAAAGGTCATCAAATTACTCTCAAATTACAGAAGATTATACACTAAACAAAGGCAACATGTACGGGAAGGAAATCATTTGTTGATGTACATGTATATATACTCTTCAGAGGGGTTCTGAACAAACATGTACATGTAGGAAACACCAACAAATTAAAAATGCCCAGTTTCTGCATTGTTGATTTTGTAACTTCAACTGCACTCTTCTAATAAATTGAATCTTCCACTGATGATCTCCTTCCACAAATGTTACATTTAGATTTGGAAAGTGTTTCCCTACAGGTATCCCTTTGTGCAAGGTCACAAACCTTGACTGGATACCTACATTGTGTACACTTTGAAATGTACAATGTGGCTCTACACGATAGTGTAGCAACTTAGAAAAATTAAAAAATCATTAGTTAAAATTGTTCTGATTCAAGCACAAGTACATGTACTACATGTTCATGCACATACATGTACGGTACATGTACATGTATACAGTCAGTTTGGTTAAATTGGAATAAATGACAAATGATTTAAAGTGCATGTAGAAGTACAGATTTGTTTTGTACATGTACATGTATGTATATCGCGCCGTCATATTCTGCATTTCGAGTTATAATTGTTAACATGAGCAGAAATATTAGTACGTGGTGTAAAACATGTTTGTACAATGACATACATACACATGTACATACCGGTACGGTACATACTATATACTTTATGGACACCGTTACATATCATCTTGGAGGCTGGGTTTAGCTGTGTGGTGTTTCTTGATGTTTGTTTTTGGGGAGGGGGTGAGTAGCACTAGCAGGCATATTTTACTGCATGATTTTCCTATTTTTGGCGACCCATTGATCGCAACTGAATACACTTCCATGAGTATGTGAGTACTGGTACATTTCCACTGAGCTCATTTTAATGGGTACACATGATGCAAATAAAAACCCTCCAACTGTCAAAATGAGTTATTTTTCGGTATTACCAAAGAAAGAAAAATATGAAAAGATTGCGGCAAATTTTCGAGTACCCATAAAACCACACATCTTTTGGCACGGAACACCACATATTGCAATTTGTGTGACTACGAGTAATTTGCCACGAGTACGACTACCTGGGTATGAGGATACTATTCATAGATCAGTTACCGTATGATGAAAGGGCAGTCCGAGGCGTAAATTAGGACTACCGGTATTTGAACAATTTTACATTTTAGCATGTTTAAGCCTTGTAAATGTGACATTCCCCCCCCCCCCAAACCCATGGCACTGAAATCCCCAAATGTTATGGATGCATGCATGGTCGTCGCGAGGGGGGGGGGGGGGGGGACACAAGGGGGCACTCCCCCCCCCCCCGAAAATGAATAAAAACAAAAAAAGGTGCGAAGCCATATTGCTGTTTATTTCGAACAAATTTTACTCAAAAACAAATTTTACTCATACTGCCTATTTTCGTTCCAAGGTCACCCGTATGGATCACGCCTATTTTCACCTCGCGTACTACTTGTGTGAGAACGAAAATATCGATGCGAAAATTTACCTACGTACATCTGATGGATTCTAGATTTATTTAAGATTGTTTGGATCACGTTTTAATACAGTTTTATCAACGAACATTTCAGATCTATTTGTAAATGAAAATAAATTTCTGTCCCCCAAACCATGAGTCTCCTGTTTAAGTTTAATATATGTTTTTTTCACCCAATGACTGCCACAAAATTATTTCAAAAATTGTCATGCTTGAACGAGTGATCGAGTTCCACGGTGTGAGAGGTAAATTTTTGACACGATATTTCTCCTTCGCGTCATGCGAATTTTAGTTTCTATAAAATTCCGAGGGTAATTTTATAAAGAAATCAATACAATGTATACCAAAACTAATTTTAAAAACTCTGACTTTTACACATTAATTTTCCTTTTCGAGGGACCCTGCCCCTGAAGCGCATGACTAGGGGTCAACTTTCAGGCTGTAAACACATTTTACATGCATGCACATTGTTGTTTATTCTATAAAAAAAAAAAATGCAGTACCGGTACTCTATACCTTTAAAACTCGACTTCTGGTGGCCAGAGAAAAATATGCATTCCACAAAAAACAGATGTTATTTTACTCTCTTATGGATTTATATTGATCAGTTCCAGTCAATTTTAAAGTGTTGCCGCATGTTGTACCCTGTATGTTCTTTTATTGTTAACATCTGTTATCAGGCTATTTTGTTCATTTTAATATTACTACCATGTTGATAAATGATACTGTTTACGTTATAATCATGTGTAATTTTTGCATTAAGGACATGACATGTGGCATTTCATTTAGTAATTAGGCCAAAAAAAAAAAAAAGTCGGTCTCTGGTCAGCGCGCGCGTCGATTTTAATCATGTGCGTCGATCTTTTTTTTTTCCCAAAATGTTCCGCGGTAGCTCCAACAGCGCCCTCTATTTCCGCACCTCCTTTTTTTTTTTTTTACCAAAGAGCACCAAGGAATGGGAAATTGCACCAAGGCAAATGATCGAAAGCACCAAGGCAAATTATGGAGGACACCAATGTACATGAGGACACCAAAAAGCAAAATAGTACCCACCTTGTCCGTACAATCTAAGCTTGAAGAAAAAAAGAAAAAAGAAAAAAAAAAGAAAAAAAGCCGCGTGGCCGCGTCAATTCCAGACTTCGGGCTGACCAGAGACCGAATATTTTTTGGGGGGGGTCTTAAACTAATAACATATTGAGCTACTGGTAATACTCACATAATAACAGGTGTGTAGATAATCATTCATCTTTGATCTTAAGTACATATTGTATTAAATATTCCTACATTGTATAGGCTTGAACATGTGACAAGATTGGTATGGATGTTACAGGCAGGCCTCATTTTGAAGGGGTGAAACTGAAAAAAACCTTAAATATATCAAGCAGGACCCTGCCCAGCACCCAATTAATCATCTGGTTATTGTGCAGAAATCTGGCAGAATCTGGCGTCTAGCACAAATAGGCCTACACAGTGTTTTAGAAAATCATTCTTGCCAAATTTGTGTCACCTTTCTAAAATTTTAAAGAATTTTTGTTTATAAGGTTTTCTAATTGGTGCATGATTTACATACTGTACATGTACAATGTACACATACCGGTACATGTACATGTACCATACCAGGTACATTATGTTTTTAATGTGATAGTTTATTTGTTTTTTTATTACATGTAGTTTGTTTTTGGTTTCCACAATCTTTAAGACTTCCTAATACAATGTCATTTACATACATATATGGTTTGTGTTACTGTTAAGACACATGTTCCTGGTTTTTTTCTTCTAAATCATGATCAATAATACATGTGAATGGAAGTGAATTGAACAGAGTCACAGGCATTCCTTTGTCCCGTTTCATTTCCTGTCACTTACATTTTTGTATATCTCACACTACCACTACAATGCACTGTGTTTAAGGGTACATTTGCAATTTTAAAATAACCGGGACAAGACATTAAACAATGTAACACTTGTAAAATGGGTGTTTTTTCCTCAAGATTTCTGTATGGAATCAATGGGAAAAATAACACTCAACTGGGAGCAAGACTACATGTAAGTTGCCATGTATGGTAATTAATTAATGCATAATGAATGCATTATGAACTTTGACAAAAGTAAACTACATTTACGTACATGTACCCAGTACTAGCATAGCTCCATGGTACTAGTAAAGAAATGACTTCAAATTACTGTTGGTTATATATATACCGGTACAAATACAATGTACTGCTGTTAACTCAACCCTTTCTGCAGTGGCGTTGATTTCTTTTCAACAATGGGGTGGGGGTGGGGATGGGGGTAGGGGGGGAGACATTCATAATGTTGAAGTTGACCCAAAACTGTACCCTTCCCCTCCAATACAATCTAAAAATCTACGCCACGTACATTGTAGCATAGTGATTTATAAGTACCGGGTAACAAGTAATTTCCTTTCAACAATATTATTTTGCGCATCCCTTTGCGTGCTGTTTACACTGCATGTTGTTTACATAACACAGGTGGGCTGCTGGAACACCAGATACATTAATTTACAAAGGATTTACAGTGTACTTATTGTACATTGAATATACAATTAATAGACATGCATTGAACAATATTGGTTTAAATCGGTTTCTGTAGAGGGGAAAAGTATTACATGTAAACTTGTACAAGTTTGTGGTGTTCAGGCTGCACAGAAAACTGATGAGCAAGTACCGGTACATGTCATCTTTCATTTTCTTTTCATTGTTTGGTGGGTTGATACCATTGACTTATCCAGAATTTCTCACCCAAAGAAGACCACTCGAGTGATGTTTCCCAAACTGGAAAAGTAGCCATCTTGAAAAAGGATCCCTCCACAACATGGCTAAATATATCGCATGCACCTTCGGGCCCATGCAATCACATCCAAAATGCACAGAATTGGAAGCCCCAAGTCCAGGGTTTGGGGAAAAATAGCAAACTTTCGGATCTAGGATACATTCAAGTTATTAGGCCAAAAAACCCTCCGCCGAGCTCATGAATAAAAGTTACACACTCAAATTATTCTTTATTAAAGAATTTTGAGAGCCATGGAATTGGGCAATTGAAGAGATGGCAATGCACCTCTGGCCCTGACCCCAACCTAAGGTACATGTAACCCTACTCGGATGTAACACAATCTTATGTGCGGGTTGTCGGAACATGCATAGAGCTGTCACCCTTTAATTGACAGGTACCGGTATTCGTGTGCAAAACGTTTATGTTTTAAGTAAATTTTTCCACATAACATTTTTGTCATCCCGGATATTCTAATGACAATATAATCATAATACTGTACATTTCTCTTTTTTTAATTTAATTGTTTTATCTCTGTTTTGTTTTGTCTACAGGATGCTACCGGTACTGTCTGTGATGTTTTCATTTTCTGTTCGTTTCTTTTCCAATAAAAAAACAAAATGTGTGTTGCATTGTTTGTTTTTTTCTTCTGATTATAACATTCGGAATATTTTTTTTTCAATTAG